TTAGAAGAATTTATTGATGATTCACATGCTATTGTAACTTCTCCTATTGGTTTTGACTATTATGTGCCAATATTATCTTTTGTTGATAAAGATTTATTAGAGCCTGGTTGTACCGTCTTAATGAATAGTAAGGACCATGTAATTGTCGGTGTTCTTGAGGCAGAAGCTGATCCTTTAGTATCTGTAATGAAGCTAGAAAAAGCACCATCTGAAACTTATGCTGATATTGGTGGATTGGAGTCACAGATACAAGAAATTAAAGAATCAGTTGAACTTCCACTTACCAACCCTGAACTTTACTCTGAAATGGGTATAAATCCTCCAAGGGGTGTTATACTGTATGGTGAACCTGGTACTGGTAAAACTCTATTAGCCAAAGCAGTAGCTAATCAAACATCTGCAACATTCCTTAGAATAGTTGGATCTGAACTAATTCAAAAATATTTAGGAGATGGTCCTAAGTTGGTTAGAGATATGTTTAAAGTAGCTAGATTACATGCACCTTCAATTATTTTTATTGATGAAATAGATGCTATTGGACATAAGCGTTATGAAACCGATTCAGGCGCAGATAGAGAAATTCAAAGGACTATGCTTGAATTACTCAATCAATTAGATGGATTTGATACACAGGATGATATTAAAGTTATAATGGCAACGAATAAAATTGAAACATTAGATACCGCTTTAATCAGACCAGGAAGAATTGATAGAAAAATTTACTTTGGATTACCAGATGCCAAAACTAAAGCATCAATTTTTAAGATTCATACATCTAAGATGACTTTAGATAAAAACGTTAAAATAGAACAGTTAATTAGCTCTCATGAAGATCTCAATGGTTCAGATATTAAAGCAATTTGTACAGAAGCAGGTATGAGAGCTTTGAGAGAAAGAAGAAAGTATGTTTGTATGGATGATTTTGTAAAAGCTCAAGAAAAAGTTTTTTATTCTAAAAAATCAGAACTTCCAACAGGATTTTATTCATAAATAAAAATTTCTAAAGAAAGTATTATTTATCATTTTTGTTTATTTAGGAAAATGAAACTGTTAATAAATTTAGTTATTGTAATGAAATAATAACAAATGAAAGTTATAAATTTAATTTTAGCAATTGACAAATCGGGATTTTTTGAATTAGTAGAGAGAAATAAGAATATGTTAACTGGTGTTTATCAACCAAATAATAGTAATGATCAATCTAATTTAACCAATAGTAATGTTTTGACTAGTTGTTTGCCGTCCAATGTTACAAGTTTTAAATGCCCTACTTTTAATGGTAATAAGAATACTCCACTTACTGGTATCAACCACTTGTCTAATTACAATGTAAGTGATAATGATAGTTGTAAGTTATACAGGTATATTGAAAACGCAAAAAATTCTAATTGTGATTTCAATAATTTTTATCAAAAATATCAAAAATGTTTAAATAATACATCAGATTCCCAGAATGGAAATCAATCATCATGTCAAAATAATTACCAAGACTTTAAGTGTCAGGCTTATTACGATATTTTTAAAGCTTTTATTGAAATTTTACGAGATAGTCCTAATAAGTTTAATAGTTGTGAATCATCTGGAAAAGATAATGTTTTAAATAATATTCTTGGTAGTGAAAACAAAGTGTTAACCCCAATAGTACCTTTAACAAATACAGTAATAAAAGAGATTGTTACCAAGGTAGATGAAAAACCACCTGTTATAACAATAACTAAGGTTGAACC